GACACAACCTGGTGTACACGGAGATGTATCAAAATTGTTTCCACATTTAATGGCTGCCATCTCTTTAGGAATACATTTGGTTATGCATCTTTTCTTACCATGAATAAAATGGTGCTCGTCACTGTCGATAAAGTGACAAGCTTTATGTGTGGCACTAGTGGTCGAAGTAGGTATTGGGGTGGTGGTGGTTGTTGTCGAAGTAGTAGTTGTGGTGGTAGTTGTCGAAGTAGTAGTGGTTGAAGTTGTCGATGAAATGCTGGTGGTGGTAGTGGTTGAAGTTGTCGATGAAATGCTGGTGGTGGTAGTGGTCAATGTACTGCTAGTGGTGGTAGTTGTTGAAGTAGTACTTGTGGTGTTAGTTGTTGGTAAGGTGGTTGTGGTGATCGATGTAGTGCTGGTGGTTGTATTAGTCGATGTAGTACTAGTGATTGTAGTGGTCGATGTACTGCCAGTTGGTGTAGTGGTCGATGATGTCTTGGAGGTTCTCCTGGTCGATGTAGTGCTGGTGGTAGTCGATGTAGTGCTGGTGGTAGTCGATGTAGTGCTGGTGGTAGTCGATGTAGTGCTGGTGGTAGTCGATGTAGTGTTGGTGGTTGTCGATGTCGTGCTGGGGGTGGTAGTAATCGATGTAGTACTAGTGGTGGCAGTTGTCGATGTAGTGCTAGTGGGGGTAGTGGTCGATGTAATGGTGGAAGTGGTCGATGTTGTGGTGGTAGTGGTCGATGTGCTGGTGGATAAAGTGCTAGAGATAGTAGTTGTCGATTCTGGGCTTGTTGTGGTAGAGGTTATCGTTGTGTTGTGTTGTGTCTTGGTACAGCAGACACAACCTGGTGTACACGGAGATGTATCAAAATTGTTTCCACATTTAATGGCTGCCATCTCTTTAGGAATACATTTGGTTATGCATCTTTTCTTACCATGAATAAAATGGTGCTCGTCACTGTCGATAAAGTGACAAGCTTTATGTGTGGCACTAGTGGTCGAAGTAGGTATTGGGGTGGTGGTGGTTGTTGTCGAAGTAGTAGTTGTGGTGGTAGTTGTCGAAGTAGTAGTGGTTGAAGTTGTCGATGAAATGCTGGTGGTGGTAGTGGTTGAAGTTGTCGATGAAATGCTGGTGGTGGTAGTGGTTGAAGTTGTCGATGAAATGCTGGTGGTGGTAGTGGTCAATGTACTGCTAGTGGTGGTAGTTGTTGAAGTAGTACTTGTGGTGTTAGTTGTTGGTAAGGTGGTTGTGGTGATCGATGTAGTGCTGGTGGTTGTATTAGTCGATGTAGTACTAGTGATTGTAGTGGTCGATGTACTGCCAGTTGGTGTAGTGGTCGATGATGTCTTGGAGGTTCTCCTGGTCGATGTAGTGCTGGTGGTAGTCGATGTAGTGCTGGTGGTAGTCGATGTAGTGCTGGTGGTAGTCGATGTAGTGCTGGTGGTAGTCGATGTAGTGTTGGTGGTAGTCGATGTCGTGCTGGGGGTGGTAGTAATGGATGTAGTACTAGTGGTGGCAGTTGTCGATGTAGTGCTAGTGGGGGTAGTGGTCGATGTATTAGTGGAAGTGGTCGATGTTGTGGTGGTAGTGGTCGATGTGCTGGTGGATAAAGTGCTAGAGATAGTAGTTGTCGATTCTGGGCTTGTTGTGGTAGAGGTTATCGTTGTGTTGTGTTGTGTCTTGGTACAGCAGACACAACCTGGTGTACACGGAGATGTATCAAAATTGTTTCCACATTTAATGGCTGCCATCTCTTTAGGAATACATTTGGTTATGCATCTTTTCTTACCATGAATAAAATGGTGCTCGTCACTGTCGATAAAGTGACAAGCTTTATGTGTGGCACTAGTGGTCGAAGTAGGTATTGGGGTGGTGGTGGTTGTTGTCGAAGTAGTAGTTGTGGTGGTAGTTGTCGAAGTAGTAGTGGTTGAAGTTGTCGATGAAATGCTGGTGGTGGTAGTGGTTGAAGTTGTCGATGAAATGCTGGTGGTGGTAGTGGTCAATGTACTGCTAGTGGTGGTAGTTGTTGAAGTAGTACTTGTGGTGTTAGTTGTTGGTATGGTGGTTGTGGTGATCGATGTAGTGCTGGTGGTTGTATTAGTCGATGTAGTACTAGTGATTGTAGTGGTCGATGTACTGCCAGTTGGTGTAGTGGTCGATGATGTCTTGGAGGTTCTCCTGGTCGATGTAGTGCTGGTGGTAGTCGATGTAGTGCTGGTGGTAGTCGATGTAGTGCTGGTGGTAGTCGATGTAGTGCTGGTGGTAGTCGATGTAGTGTTGGTGGTAGTCGATGTCGTGCTGGGGGTGGTAGTAATCGATGTAGTACTAGTGGTGGCAGTTGTCGATGTAGTGCTAGTGGGGGTAGTGGTCGATGTATTAGTGGAAGTGGTCGATGTTGTGGTGGTAGTGGTCGATGTGCTGGTGGATAAAGTGCTAGAGATAGTAGTTGTCGATTCTGGGCTTGTTGTGGTAGAGGTTATCGTTGTGTTGTGTTGTGTCTTGGTACAGCAGACACAACCTGGTGTACACGGAGATGTATCAAAATTGTTTCCACATTTAATGGCTGCCATCTCTTTAGGAATACATTTGGTTATGCATCTTTTCTTACCATGAATAAAATGGTGCTCGTCACTGTCGATAAAGTGACAAGCTTTATGTGTGGCACTAGTGGTCGAAGTAGGTATTGGGGTGGTGGTGGTTGTTGTCGAAGTAGTAGTGGTTGAAGTTGTCGATGAAATGCTGGTGGTGGTAGTGGTTGAAGTTGTCGATGAAATGCTGGTGGTGGTAGTGGTCAATGTACTGCTAGTGGTGGTAGTTGTTGAAGTAGTACTTGTGGTGTTAGTTGTTGGTAAGGTGGTTGTGGTGATCGATGTAGTGCTGGTGGTTGTATTAGTCGATGTAGTACTAGTGATTGTAGTGGTCGATGTACTGCCAGTTGGTGTAGTGGTCGATGATGTCTTGGAGGTTCTCCTGGTCGATGTAGTGCTGGTGGTAGTCGATGTAGTGCTGGTGGTAGTCGATGTAGTGCTGGTGGTAGTCGATGTAGTGCTGGTGGTAGTCGATGTAGTGTTGGTGGTTGTCGATGTCGTGCTGGGGGTGGTAGTAATCGATGTAGTACTAGTGGTGGCAGTTGTCGATGTAGTGCTAGTGGGGGTAGTGGTCGATGTAATGGTGGAAGTGGTCGATGTTGTGGTGGTAGTGGTCGATGTGCTGGTGGATAAAGTGCTAGAGATAGTAGTTGTCGATTCTGGGCTTGTTGTGGTAGAGGTTATCGTTGTGTTGTGTTGTGTCTTGGTACAGCAGACACAACCTGGTGTACACGGAGATGTATCAAAATTGTTTCCACATTTAATGGCTGCCATCTCTTTAGGAATACATTTGGTTATGCATCTTTTCTTACCATGAATAAAATGGTGCTCGTCACTGTCGATAAAGTGACAAGCTTTATGTGTGGCACTAGTGGTCGAAGTAGGTATTGGGGTGGTGGTGGTTGTTGTCGAAGTAGTAGTTGTGGTGGTAGTTGTCGAAGTAGTAGTGGTTGAAGTTGTCGATGAAATGCTGGTGGTGGTAGTGGTTGAAGTTGTCGATGAAATGCTGGTGGTGGTAGTGGTCAATGTACTGCTAGTGGTGGTAGTTGTTGAAGTAGTACTTGTGGTGTTAGTTGTTGGTATGGTGGTTGTGGTGATCGATGTAGTGCTGGTGGTTGTATTAGTCGATGTAGTACTAGTGATTGTAGTGGTCGATGTACTGCCAGTTGGTGTAGTGGTCGATGATGTCTTGGAGGTTCTCCTGGTCGATGTAGTGCTGGTGGTAGTCGATGTAGTGCTGGTGGTAGTCGATGTAGTGCTGGTGGTAGTCGATGTAGTGTTGGTGGTTGTCGATGTCGTGCTGGGGGTGGTAGTAATCGATGTAGTACTAGTGGTGGCAGTTGTCGATGTAGTGCTAGTGGGGGTAGTGGTCGATGTAATGGTGGAAGTGGTCGATGTTGTGGTGGTAGTGGTCGATGTGCTGGTGGATAAAGTGCTAGAGATAGTAGTTGTCGATTCTGGGCTTGTTGTGGTAGAGGTTATCGTTGTGTTGTGTTGTGTCTTGGTACAGCAGACACAACCTGGTGTACACGGAGATGTATCAAAATTGTTTCCACATTTAATGGCTGCCATCTCTTTAGGAATACATTTGGTTATGCATCTTTTCTTACCATGAATAAAATGGTGCTCGTCACTGTCGATAAAGTGACAAGCTTTATGTGTGGCACTAGTGGTCGAAGTAGGTATTGGGGTGGTGGTGGTTGTTGTCGAAGTAGTAGTTGTGGTGGTAGTTGTCGAAGTAGTAGTGGTTGAAGTTGTCGATGAAATGCTGGTGGTGGTAGTGGTTGAAGTTGTCGATGAAATGCTGGTGGTGGTAGTGGTCAATGTACTGCTAGTGGTGGTAGTTGTTGAAGTAGTACTTGTGGTGTTAGTTGTTGGTATGGTGGTTGTGGTGATCGATGTAGTGCTGGTGGTTGTATTAGTCGATGTAGTACTAGTGATTGTAGTGGTCGATGTACTGCCAGTTGGTGTAGTGGTCGATGATGTCTTGGAGGTTCTCCTGGTCGATGTAGTGCTGGTGGTAGTCGATGTAGTGCTGGTGGTAGTCGATGTAGTGCTGGTGGTAGTCGATGTAGTGCTGGTGGTAGTCGATGTAGTGTTGGTGGTTGTCGATGTCGTGCTGGGGGTGGTAGTAATCGATGTAGTACTAGTGGTGGCAGTTGTCGATGTAGTGCTAGTGGGGGTAGTGGTCGATGTAATGGTGGAAGTGGTCGATGTTGTGGTGGTAGTGGTCGATGTGCTGGTGGATAAAGTGCTAGAGATAGTAGTTGTCGATTCTGGGCTTGTTGTGGTAGAGGTTATCGTTGTGTTGTGTTGTGTCTTGGTACAGCAGACACAACCTGGTGTACACGGAGATGTATCAAAATTGTTTCCACATTTAATGGCTGCCATCTCTTTAGGAATACATTTGGTTATGCATCTTTTCTTACCATGAATAAAATGGTGCTCGTCACTGTCGATAAAGTGACAAGCTTTATGTGTGGCACTAGTGGTCGAAGTAGGTATTGGGGTGGTGGTGGTTGTTGTCGAAGTAGTAGTTGTGGTGGTAGTTGTCGAAGTAGTAGTGGTTGAAGTTGTCGATGAAATGCTGGTGGTGGTAGTGGTTGAAGTTGTCGATGAAATGCTGGTGGTGGTAGTGGTCAATGTACTGCTAGTGGTGGTAGTTGTTGAAGTAGTACTTGTGGTGTTAGTTGTTGGTATGGTGGTTGTGGTGATCGATGTAGTGCTGGTGGTTGTATTAGTCGATGTAGTACTAGTGATTGTAGTGGTCGATGTACTGCCAGTTGGTGTAGTGGTCGATGATGTCTTGGAGGTTCTCCTGGTCGATGTAGTGCTGGTGGTAGTCGATGTAGTGCTGGTGGTAGTCGATGTAGTGCTGGTGGTAGTCGATGTAGTGCTGGTGGTAGTCGATGTAGTGTTGGTGGTAGTCGATGTCGTGCTGGGGGTGGTAGTAATGGATGTAGTACTAGTGGTGGCAGTTGTCGATGTAGTGCTAGTGGGGGTAGTGGTCGATGTATTAGTGGAAGTGGTCGATGTTGTGGTGGTAGTGGTCGATGTGCTGGTGGATAAAGTGCTAGAGATAGTAGTTGTCGATTCTGGGCTTGTTGTGGTAGAGGTTATCGTTGTGTTGTGTTGTGTCTTGGTACAGCAGACACAACCTGGTGTACACGGAGATGTATCAAAATTGTTTCCACATTTAATGGCTGCCATCTCTTTAGGAATACATTTGGTTATGCATCTTTTCTTACCATGAATAAAATGGTGCTCGTCACTGTCGATAAAGTGACAAGCTTTATGTGTGGCACTAGTGGTCGAAGTAGGTATTGGGGTGGTGGTGGTTGTTGTCGAAGTAGTAGTTGTGGTGGTAGTTGTCGAAGTAGTAGTGGTTGAAGTTGTCGATGAAATGCTGGTGGTGGTAGTGGTTGAAGTTGTCGATGAAATGCTGGTGGTGGTAGTGGTCAATGTACTGCTAGTGGTGGTAGTTGTTGAAGTAGTACTTGTGGTGTTAGTTGTTGGTAAGGTGGTTGTGGTGATCGATGTAGTGCTGGTGGTTGTATTAGTCGATGTAGTACTAGTGATTGTAGTGGTCGATGTACTGCCAGTTGGTGTAGTGGTCGATGATGTCTTGGAGGTTCTCCTGGTCGATGTAGTGCTGGTGGTAGTCGATGTAGTGCTGGTGGTAGTCGATGTAGTGCTGGTGGTAGTCGATGTAGTGCTGGTGGTAGTCGATGTAGTGTTGGTGGTAGTCGATGTCGTGCTGGGGGTGGTAGTAATGGATGTAGTACTAGTGGTGGCAGTTGTCGATGTAGTGCTAGTGGGGGTAGTGGTCGATGTATTAGTGGAAGTGGTCGATGTTGTGGTGGTAGTGGTCGATGTGCTGGTGGATAAAGTGCTAGAGATAGTAGTTGTCGATTCTGGGCTTGTTGTGGTAGAGGTTATCGTTGTGTTGTGTTGTGTCTTGGTACAGCAGACACAACCTGGTGTACACGGAGATGTATCAAAATTGTTTCCACATTTAATGGCTGCCATCTCTTTAGGAATACATTTGGTTATGCATCTTTTCTTACCATGAATAAAATGGTGCTCGTCACTGTCGATAAAGTGACAAGCTTTATGTGTGGCACTAGTGGTCGAAGTAGGTATTGGGGTGGTGGTGGTTGTTGTCGAAGTAGTAGTTGTGGTGGTAGTTGTCGAAGTAGTAGTGGTTGAAGTTGTCGATGAAATGCTGGTGGTGGTAGTGGTTGAAGTTGTCGATGAAATGCTGGTGGTGGTAGTGGTCAATGTACTGCTAGTGGTGGTAGTTGTTGAAGTAGTACTTGTGGTGTTAGTTGTTGGTATGGTGGTTGTGGTGATCGATGTAGTGCTGGTGGTTGTATTAGTCGATGTAGTACTAGTGATTGTAGTGGTCGATGTACTGCCAGTTGGTGTAGTGGTCGATGATGTCTTGGAGGTTCTCCTGGTCGATGTAGTGCTGGTGGTAGTCGATGTAGTGCTGGTGGTAGTCGATGTAGTGCTGGTGGTAGTCGATGTAGTGCTGGTGGTAGTCGATGTAGTGTTGGTGGTAGTCGATGTCGTGCTGGGGGTGGTAGTAATCGATGTAGTACTAGTGGTGGCAGTTGTCGATGTAGTGCTAGTGGGGGTAGTGGTCGATGTATTAGTGGAAGTGGTCGATGTTGTGGTGGTAGTGGTCGATGTGCTGGTGGATAAAGTGCTAGAGATAGTAGTTGTCGATTCTGGGCTTGTTGTGGTAGAGGTTATCGTTGTGTTGTGTTGTGTCTTGGTACAGCAGACACAACCTGGTGTACACGGAGATGTATCAAAATTGTTTCCACATTTAATGGCTGCCATCTCTTTAGGAATACATTTGGTTATGCATCTTTTCTTACCATGAATAAAATGGTGCTCGTCACTGTCGATAAAGTGACAAGCTTTATGTGTGGCACTAGTGGTCGAAGTAGGTATTGGGGTGGTGGTGGTTGTTGTCGAAGTAGTAGTTGTGGTGGTAGTTGTCGAAGTAGTAGTGGTTGAAGTTGTCGATGAAATGCTGGTGGTGGTAGTGGTTGAAGTTGTCGATGAAATGCTGGTGGTGGTAGTGGTTGAAGTTGTCGATGAAATGCTGGTGGTGGTAGTGGTCAATGTACTGCTAGTGGTGGTAGTTGTTGAAGTAGTACTTGTGGTGTTAGTTGTTGGTATGGTGGTTGTGGTGATCGATGTAGTGCTGGTGGTTGTATTAGTCGATGTAGTACTAGTGATTGTAGTGGTCGATGTACTGCCAGTTGGTGTAGTGGTCGATGATGTCTTGGAGGTTCTCCTGGTCGATGTAGTGCTGGTGGTAGTCGATGTAGTGCTGGTGGTAGTCGATGTAGTGCTGGTGGTAGTCGATGTAGTGCTGGTGGTAGTCGATGTAGTGTTGGTGGTAGTCGATGTCGTGCTGGGGGTGGTAGTAATCGATGTAGTACTAGTGGTGGCAGTTGTCGATGTAGTGCTAGTGGGGGTAGTGGTCGATGTAATGGTGGAAGTGGTCGATGTTGTGGTGGTAGTGGTCGATGTGCTGGTGGATAAAGTGCTAGAGATAGTAGTTGTCGATTCTGGGCTTGTTGTGGTAGAGGTTATCGTTGTGTTGTGTTGTGTCTTGGTACAGCAGACACAACCTGGTGTACACGGAGATGTATCAAAATTGTTTCCACATTTAATGGCTGCCATCTCTTTAGGAATACATTTGGTTATGCATCTTTTCTTACCATGAATAAAATGGTGCTCGTCACTGTCGATAAAGTGACAAGCTTTATGTGTGGCACTAGTGGTCGAAGTAGGTATTGGGGTGGTGGTGGTTGTTGTCGAAGTAGTAGTTGTGGTGGTAGTTGTCGAAGTAGTAGTGGTTGAAGTTGTCGATGAAATGCTGGTGGTGGTAGTGGTTGAAGTTGTCGATGAAATGCTGGTGGTGGTAGTGGTCAATGTACTGCTAGTGGTGGTAGTTGTTGAAGTAGTACTTGTGGTGTTAGTTGTTGGTATGGTGGTTGTGGTGATCGATGTAGTGCTGGTGGTTGTATTAGTCGATGTAGTACTAGTGATTGTAGTGGTCGATGTACTGCCAGTTGGTGTAGTGGTCGATGATGTCTTGGAGGTTCTCCTGGTCGATGTAGTGCTGGTGGTAGTCGATGTAGTGCTGGTGGTAGTCGATGTAGTGCTGGTGGTAGTCGATGTAGTGCTGGTGGTAGTCGATGTAGTGTTGGTGGTAGTCGATGTCGTGCTGGGGGTGGTAGCAATCGATGTAGTACTAGTGGTGGCAGTTGTCGATGTAGTGCTAGTGGGGGTAGTGGTCGATGTAATGGTGGAAGTGGTCGATGTTGTGGTGGTAGTGGTCGATGTGCTGGTGGATAAAGTGCTAGAGATAGTAGTTGTCGATTCTGGGCTTGTTGTGGTAGAGGTTATCGTTGTGTTGTGTTGTGTCTTGGTACAGCAGACACAACCTGGTGTACACGGAGATGTATCAAAATTGTTTCCACATTTAATGGCTGCCATCTCTTTAGGAATACATTTGGTTATGCATCTTTTCTTACCATGAATAAAATGGTGCTCGTCACTGTCGATAAAGTGACAAGCTTTATGTGTGGCACTAGTGGTCGAAGTAGGTATTGGGGTGGTGGTGGTTGTTGTCGAAGTAGTAGTGGTTTGAAGTTGTCGATGAAATGCTGGTGGTGGTAGTGGTTGAAGTTGTCGATGAAATGCTGGTGGTGGTAGTGGTCAATGTACTGCTAGTGGTGGTAGTTGTTGAAGTAGTACTTGTGGTGTTAGTTGTTGGTATGGTGGTTGTGGTGATCGATGTAGTGCTGGTGGTTGTATTAGTCGATGTAGTACTAGTGATTGTAGTGGTCGATGTACTGCCAGTTGGTGTAGTGGTCGATGATGTCTTGGAGGTTCTCCTGGTCGATGTAGTGCTGGTGGTAGTCGATGTAGTGCTGGTGGTAGTCGATGTAGTGCTGGTGGTAGTCGATGTAGTGCTGGTGGTAGTCGATGTAGTGTTGGTGGTTGTCGATGTCGTGCTGGGGGTGGTAGTAATCGATGTAGTACTAGTGGTGGCAGTTGTCGATGTAGTGCTAGTGGGGGTAGTGGTCGATGTAATGGTGGAAGTGGTCGATGTTGTGGTGGTAGTGGTCGATGTGCTGGTGGATAAAGTGCTAGAGATAGTAGTTGTCGATTCTGGGCTTGTTGTGGTAGAGGTTATCGTTGTGTTGTGTTGTGTCTTGGTACAGCAGACACAACCTGGTGTACACGGAGATGTATCAAAATTGTTTCCACATTTAATGGCTGCCATCTCTTTAGGAATACATTTGGTTATGCATCTTTTCTTACCATGAATAAAATGGTGCTCGTCACTGTCGATAAAGTGACAAGCTTTATGTGTGGCACTAGTGGTCGAAGTAGGTATTGGGGTGGTGGTGGTTGTTGTCGAAGTAGTAGTTGTGGTGGTAGTTGTCGAAGTAGTAGTGGTTGAAGTTGTCGATGAAATGCTGGTGGTGGTAGTGGTTGAAGTTGTCGATGAAATGCTGGTGGTGGTAGTGGTCAATGTACTGCTAGTGGTGGTAGTTGTTGAAGTAGTACTTGTGGTGTTAGTTGTTGGTATGGTGGTTGTGGTGATCGATGTAGTGCTGGTGGTTGTATTAGTCGATGTAGTACTAGTGATTGTAGTGGTCGATGTACTGCCAGTTGGTGTAGTGGTCGATGATGTCTTGGAGGTTCTCCTGGTCGATGTAGTGCTGGTGGTAGTCGATGTAGTGCTGGTGGTAGTCGATGTAGTGCTGGTGGTAGTCGATGTAGTGCTGGTGGTAGTCGATGTAGTGTTGGTGGTTGTCGATGTCGTGCTGGGGGTGGTAGTAATCGATGTAGTACTAGTGGTGGCAGTTGTCGATGTAGTGCTAGTGGGGGTAGTGGTCGATGTAATGGTGGAAGTGGTCGATGTTGTGGTGGTAGTGGTCGATGTGCTGGTGGATAAAGTGCTAGAGATAGTAGTTGTCGATTCTGGGCTTGTTGTGGTAGAGGTTATCGTTGTGTTGTGTTGTGTCTTGGTACAGCAGACACAACCTGGTGTACACGGAGATGTATCAAAATTGTTTCCACATTTAATGGCTGCCATCTCTTTAGGAATACATTTGGTTATGCATCTTTTCTTACCATGAATAAAATGGTGCTCGTCACTGTCGATAAAGTGACAAGCTTTATGTGTGGCACTAGTGGTCGAAGTAGGTATTGGGGTGGTGGTGGTTGTTGTCGAAGTAGTAGTTGTGGTGGTAGTTGTCGAAGTAGTAGTGGTTGAAGTTGTCGATGAAATGCTGGTGGTGGTAGTGGTTGAAGTTGTCGATGAAATGCTGGTGGTGGTAGTGGTCAATGTACTGCTAGTGGTGGTAGTTGTTGAAGTAGTACTTGTGGTGTTAGTTGTTGGTATGGTGGTTGTGGTGATCGATGTAGTGCTGGTGGTTGTATTAGTCGATGTAGTACTAGTGATTGTAGTGGTCGATGTACTGCCAGTTGGTGTAGTGGTCGATGATGTCTTGGAGGTTCTCCTGGTCGATGTAGTGCTGGTGGTAGTCGATGTAGTGCTGGTGGTAGTCGATGTAGTGCTGGTGGTAGTCGATGTAGTGCTGGTGGTAGTCGATGTAGTGTTGGTGGTAGTCGATGTCGTGCTGGGGGTGGTAGTAATCGATGTAGTACTAGTGGTGGCAGTTGTCGATGTAGTGCTAGTGGGGGTAGTGGTCGATGTAATGGTGGAAGTGGTCGATGTTGTGGTGGTAGTGGTCGATGTGCTGGTGGATAAAGTGCTAGAGATAGTAGTTGTCGATTCTGGGCTTGTTGTGGTAGAGGTTATCGTTGTGTTGTGTTGTGTCTTGGTACAGCAGACACAACCTGGTGTACACGGAGATGTATCAAAATTGTTTCCACATTTAATGGCTGCCATCTCTTTAGGAATACATTTGGTTATGCATCTTTTCTTACCATGAATAAAATGGTGCTCGTCACTGTCGATAAAGTGACAAGCTTTATGTGTGGCACTAGTGGTCGAAGTAGGTATTGGGGTGGTGGTGGTTGTTGTCGAAGTAGTAGTTGTGGTGGTAGTTGTCGAAGTAGTAGTGGTTGAAGTTGTCGATGAAATGCTGGTGGTGGTAGTGGTTGAAGTTGTCGATGAAATGCTGGTGGTGGTAGTGGTCAATGTACTGCTAGTGGTGGTAGTTGTTGAAGTAGTACTTGTGGTGTTAGTTGTTGGTATGGTGGTTGTGGTGATCGATGTAGTGCTGGTGGTTGTATTAGTCGATGTA